TGATAAATCGTCTGCATTAAAACTTTTAAACTGTTGAAAGATTACTGCTCAATTAAAAAGAACAAACCGCTCGAACATCTCGTCTAATTGTTGCAATTCGCAAGGATTGCACGTTAACATTATTTATTTTTATTAGAAATCCAAAAAAAATTTAATTATTAATTATAATTTATTATTATTAGTTAATTTTTTTTTTATTTATTAAATAAATTTTTATATTAACTATTAATAACGTTTTTTTATAATAACAATTACTTTTTTATAATCATAATAAATTCTTAAAAATCTTTAAGATTTATATGTATTTACTATTTTATATAATATAATATAATATAATCTTTTATTGTATTTTTTTTTTCCAAGATTTTTTGAATTACTGAATTTATTTTCTTTAAAAAATTTTTATAACTAATAGGTTAAATAATTAAAGATTTTGTTATGTTTTATATTTTTATTTTTAAAAATGGATGAATCAAATTGTAACAACATGTTACGCATCTTATTTGTAATAATTTCAATTTTATCCAATCAAAATTTAATATCAGATGTAACATAAATAATTTAGCAAAAAAAAATTTTTTTTTAAAAATTTCAAGAAACTGTAACTGAAAATTTTATTTATGAAGTTGCCTTTTATGTAAAAGTTTTTCAAATTAAATTTTGCATATAAAAATTTTATTATAAAATATTTAGAATAATTTATTATTAAGAAAAATAAAAAAGGATGTTACAAATAAAATATGTAACATGTTGTTACAAATACATTTTTTCTTTAAAAATAACTTGCATTTTAAGTTTTTTAATATTTTCTTTTTTCTCAAAAGAAAAATTATCTTTTAAAAATAAATTTTCTTCTTCAAAAATAAATTATCTTCTAATTCTTTAATGTAAAATATGATACATTTATTATTATAATCTACTAAATTTCTTTATCTTTTAAAAATATTTGTTACTCAGATTTTGGATTTTTAACTTTTTAATATATTTTTTTAACATGGATGATCAGGATACAAAAATAGAAAGTGTTTTTTATAAATGATCAACAAATCACCTGATCATACTACGTTAATTCGGAAAAACGGTCATAATATTTTTTTTCGTGTTCTAAAATTAGGAGATTAGCATGATATAAAATGATTGGTATTGAACCCTGATTTTCTTGCGTAACGAATTTGTAACACCGATTTTAAACTATCAGTTAACAAATGAAACTAATGGAAATTCGAGAGGGTTTTAAATTATAACATGTCTCTGTCTTCAGCTTCAGCAAGTGGTTTACAAAGAAGACGAAATGCTGGAGCTCTTAATTCTAATTCGTCCTCGAACGAGAATAATATGCCGACAACGCTAGATCGAACTCTTTCAAGTGGTGTTAGGATTGCAGTTGATCCTAATGAAATACTTGACGATGAAGACAAGAAACAACCTAATTTAACACTCATGGAAGAAGTTCTTTTATTAGGTTTAAAAGATAAACAGGTATGGTTTAATTTTTTCATTCGCTCTGGTCGAATATTCTTTTTATCCTATACATTCAATTATATCAACTGTTGTGATTTTTGAATGGTAATTGTTAAATAATTGTTAGGTGAATTATTGGGTAAAAAAAAAAAACAAAAAAAAAAAAAAAAATTATCAATGACTTAGTAGAATACAATGTCTTTTTAATTCAAATAGAAAGCTTTGATTTCTTAACATTTGTCATCCTACGAAATATAACGTATTTATTATTTTAATAAGGTCAATTGGACAATTTATCATTATCATTATTTTTGCAACAAAAGATGATCGAGGAGCAATATGATTATAAAATAAAAAAAATAAAATTAGAAATTGACTAAAAAAAAAATTTTTTATATCTTATAAACATGATACCTGTATTATAATTTCTTTTTCATATATAAATAAAAACTTTTGATCAGGGCTACCTCTCATTCTGGAATGATAATATTTCTTATACTTTAAGAGGATGTATTCTTATGGAACTTGCTTTTCGTGGTCGAATAGCCATGGTTAAAGAAGCAGCTCGTCGAAAATGGCCCCTTTCAGATAGGTTCATAGAAGTCATTGATGAAAAGGGGACAAATGAAGTATTGTTGGATGAAGCATTAAAAATGATGAAATCTAGTGAACATATGAGTGTTGGAAGTTGGATTGATCTGATGAGTGGTGAGTTTGTATGTCTGATAAAATGAAAAAGAATTTTCGTACTTTTCTTGACGAGTTTATTAATTTTGAATTTACCTTTTTTTTTATTTATTTTTTTTTTAAAAAAAAAAAAAAAAAAAAATTATAGGAGAAACTTGGAATGTAATGAAAATTGGATACCAATTAAAACAAGTACGAGAACGTTTAGCAAAAGGATTAGTAGATAAAGGAATTTTAAGAACAGAAAAGAGAAATTTTTTACTTTTTGATATGGCAACCCATCCTGTTAGTGATTCTTCAGCAAAAGATGAGATCGTTAATAGAGTCATTAAAACTTTAACTCATGTCAATCATTCTACTGCAGCTACAACATCATCATTAAATTCCGATGTACCTTTTAATGATTTACGTACTATATCAATGGTATGCGCTGCTTATGCTGCTAATGTATTGGAAAATGCTTTATTACAGTTAAATCATGAATTAAGAGAAAAAGCTTATACAAAAGTTGATGATTTATTAAGTGAATATTCTGTTTGGCCTTTTTCAAAAAAAGCTAAAGTTGATATTCCTGAAGGGAAAGAATTACAAATTGAAGTCGTAGCCGCTGTTCTAAATGTCTTTACAAAAATGGATAGTATTTTGTAGTAATATTTTTCTGTAAACATTTCAAGGGTATCATAATTAATTTTTTGGAATGTGGTGAATTCTTTAAAACTTTTAATACTTATTATTTTTTTTTTATGTAACTTTGCAAGGGTTATACCTTAAAGGTAAGTTTGTGTAAATTAACATTAGTTGATACTTCAAAGGTAGAATTGCACCTA